CCCCAAAACCCCAAAACCCCAAAACCCCTAATCTTCAAAAAAGAATGAAAATATAATAAGCTAAATAAAATGAGTATTGTAAGCAACCTTGAGTTCACAGACGTGCTTGGCAAGGGATCTTTTGGAACAGTTAATTTGTGAAAGAAACCGAAGGAACACGATTTGAGCAAGGACTTTTAAGAGTAAGCCGTGTTTAGTTTGTTCGTGAAGGATTCATGGGTGAGGGAGAACAGGGGGTTAGGGGAAGTTAGCTGGGATTGGGCTGGTGAGGGAAGGATGGAGAATTTGGGTGGGTAATGTAGGGGTTTTAGGGAGAATGAGAGATGACAGAGGGATTGCCTGTAAGATTATTAGGCATGCAAGGCTTAAGGATAGGGCGCAACAGTATTTGATACAAGAAATTAACATCATGATGACCATAGATCATCCGAATATTCTCAGATTTCTTGAAGCCAAGAAGACAAAAATAAGTTATTTCATTTTTGTAGAGTTCTGTAATGGAGGAGATCTTGCAAGACTTCTCGAACTCAAAGGAGGCAAACTGAGCGAAGGCCTTGTTAAGAAAATTGTGCTACAAATAGCTTTAGGTCTCTCTTATCTTGCTGAAAATAAAATAATGCATAGAGATCTTAAGCTTGCTAATATTATGATTAATTTCCCAAATCTGTCTTCTTCCAAAGTAGTTGAAGATGAATTTATTGAGAACTTTGACCACGAAAATGAAGAAATAGAAGCCATCATTGGAGATCTAGGCTTTGCTAAATCAGTAACAGGCGTAGGGATTGCAACTTCTTACTGAGGAACTCCTTTTCATATGGCTCCAGAGATTTTGAATAAGAAACCATATACACCAAAGGTTGATATTTGGTCTTTAGGGACGATAATTTATGAGCTCTTGGTGGGCTTCCCACCTTTTGTTGGTCATAGCATTTATGCAATTGCTAATAAGATTAATAAGGGAGATTATGGAATTCCAAATAATATTGAGTTATCCCTCGAATGAGCTGATATATTAAACAAATGTCTTCAGCATGACCCTGAAAAGAGGATTTCTCATCTTGAACTACTAGAACACCCATTCTTACAAAATGATGACGGCTCTGAGAAAATCAACCTAGCTGCAAGTATCGGGCCAGACCAAAAATCTTTCTTTGAAATGCCTGAGCATGGATTTGGAATATCTGCAAAGAACTCGGTAATGTTCAATGCTAAAGAAAGCGCCCTGTTTAATGACCACTACGCCAAATCAATTCAGAAATATCTTGATAGGACCAATGACGATGATGAAATATTCCAGAATTATGAAATACTGCCAGAAACTTCTGGATTAGACCTCAAAACTGTTGAAGAAGTTGATGAAAATTGGGGTGAAGAAGATGCTTTTGAGAATTATTCTTCTGAAGACTCATTCAGTTTTAGCGAAGAGGATGAAGAGAACTTGGCAGAAAGCAGGCTAGCTATCCCAAATAAAGCCCCTATAATGCATGTAACAGAGAAAAATAACAGAGACAAAAATTATTATGAAGAAAGTAAAGGCGATAGTTTGTCAAATGATTCTTCTGAATTTAGTGGTTTCACACCAGCAAAGAAACCTTCTTTGCATTTTCCTTGACAGAAAGACTCCTATGTATCAGTTTTATCTCTTGATAGTATATCTTGTCAGGAAGATGAATTAGGGAGCTCACTTGGAGCTTCAATTGAAGAAGAAACAAAGCTTCAGAATTATAATATCAGAGATATTACAATCCAATGTAGTAACTGAGAGGGAGACCTCGGCCCTCATCCGTCTGAGATTGGATACAGTGTCATTGACATGGCTGGAGGCCAGAAATCTCCTATGCTGCATGACACTATATCTGAGGTAAAGGTTGAAGATGAGGATCGTTCTGAAGAAGAACTTGTGAACAGCTTTGAAATTATCTAATTATGAAGGTACTGAGATGATAGATTGGCTCTTATTCATGAAAAGGAAAATTATTAATTACTAGTTAAAACTTATGTTTTCTATCTAATTAGAATATCATGGGGTTTTGGGGTTTTGGGGTTTTGGGGTTTTGGGGTTTTGGGG